GCATAACTTATAGCTATTTTCCACATCTCAAATTACCTTGCGTCGCAGTGGCGCAATCGGCTAATCCCTCAATTTAGATCTGACGCGTCACACGTAAGCCAGTTCAAAGCCTAGGCAATCCAGAAATAATAATTATTTCTTGTTTACTTCTTCCAAAAATAATAATTAATTCTTCCTCATGATTAGTTCTTTCCCCTGACAGAATAAATCAAAGAACTCGAAGATATCTCGAACTAATTCCGAAGCAACTTTGGATCCCCCGGATGCAACTTTAAAACATACCTGAGCTGCGCGAATCCTTTACTTCGCTCTCCGCGAAGCAGCAAGCGCTGCTTGAGGCAACGACTCCAACTGGGCCCTTCTACTGTTCTCATGAAATATTTTCCGTTCGTTTTAAAACTGTATACTTTAGATTGATTTTGACTTTGTTCATTTTTGTCATCTGCATAGCGGCGCAGCTTCGCTTCGTCACACAAATCGCATCGAAATCACCGTCATCATGTGTAAACAGAAGCCCTATCCGCTCTGGGTTTCGCGTCTGCGCAAACGCTATCTGATATAGTGTGAACATAGCTTCAGTGGTCACACTCAAGGTTTACCACAATGCGCCGAAACGTGTTGGCCATTTTGTCAGGGGCACCCATCGGCAAATTTTGGAAAATATCTGTTCAGAAGACGATTTGAGATATAGAATTTTCGGAACATTCGTTGTTAAATTTCTTGCTTGCATGCCTCTCCTAGGATTTTCGAACCTCCCAAACATGGTATAATTGCCCATTTTTAACGGATTTTTAGCGTAAAAACAGTAAAAAGGTCACCTAGAATCTTCGGGAGCCTTTTTTCTGGCTGAAATTTTCGAAAAGGTAAGTTTTGATCCCTATAATTCTCGGATCACTAGACTTTCAGCTAGGAAATCCGAACAGATGAAAAATTTTTAGGGGATAAAAATATGCCTATATCTACTGTTTAAATACTAAAATACGTTCAACAATGCCATGTTTAAGTGGTTTTGAACTATATTCTCGTTGGGTGCCCCTGTCTGTTTCAGAAGATTTAAAAAGCTTTGTTTATGCACGGCTAGCTTCGTAGAGAGAACGAGTTACAAAGGTCTATTTGTAAAGAATGTAAACCTGATGCACGTGACCAGCGAATTATGATAAGAACAGACTTGAAGATAAGATGTTAATTGTTTCAAAAGCTTAATTAGTGAAATTGAGTGAAAAAAGGCCAACCAATATTATTTATTGATTTCATCATTTTATTTGGAATTCTCCTTATTTTTGTTGCCATTACAACATTTGAAGTTCACTCCCATGCTTGATCATTAAATGAAATTTTAAATTTCAGCATCTTAAATCCAGATTCGTCAAAGTGGCTTCTTTACCAATTAACTTATATCCCGGAGGATCAGCCGTAAACTTTCCGACGACAAATAGACAGATCTCGTCATCCTTCACCAACTCATCGCTGAATTCCAACCCGGCTTTAAATTGGAAGCGAATGGCGTTGACCAGTACTTTCACATCTAATTCCTGGCTCGGTTCCCATGGTATGACCAAGTATGGAAACTTATAGATGTCTAGCTTAGACTGATGATGTGTTGACCCGAAGTAGACCCAAATCGAATTAGAATTCTCCATTATATCCACGAAAATAAGTGCATTCTTTTCCTCGAATAGACAGTTCAGTTTAAGGTTACGATCTGAATAATACGAGACGGTGACAGGGTGTAGTAGGCTGAAGTACGATATTTCCACTTCTGGTATCTTGGCATTTTCAATCTCGAGTTTTACAAATGCGTAACAACTAAAGATGATCTGTGTGTACTCTTCCTTTTCAACAGCAGGATTATTTAAGGAATCTTTATCCTCAATATACTTTGCTCCATCTTTCACTTTTTGAAGGAATTTCTTGAAGATCAGTTTTTCACATTTTGAAACGTCCCACCCTTTGATAACATCGTGTTGTCGTCGGCGGTCTTTCAGACAAACTTTACCATCAGTGTCGTTACATATCTGTACATCATTCTCGTCAGCACCAGTAATAATCAGATCATGTGGCCCCATACAAATCTCTACTGGTGTATCTGCTTGGGCTCCAACAACTACTGCATTGAGACTTCTGTTGTCGTCTCCACCGCTAATGGTGACTTTTCCTGTTCCTTCTGTGAAGTTATTGGCGACGATGATGCTTCCAGAAGATTTCTCCCCAATCTTGTAGGTTTTCCCTCTTGTTTTGGCGAGGACGATGTTCTGACCATTTCCAACAAAAATTTCGTCACCGACATTAGAAGGAAGAGTTGTGGAATCAAGGAAGGTATCGTAGTTTTGTCCAAGATCAGTTATGAGGTGGTTCAGATGTGTGAAGAGGAACCTCAGTATATCTTCTTGTGCTGCACGGATAAATTCCTTCTCGGTTTTTCGAAAAAGGATCAATGGGAAACGATCAACAAAGTCTACGATGAGGTCAAACAAACTTGTGTATAACCCAGTCGATAGTCTACTGCTCCATTCCTGGTCAATAAGGACAGCTTGTGGAGGATTTGATTTATCCTTGAAAACCAGGTTATCGTTTTCAATGCTTGCCGTCAACTGGTCAAGACTGGTTATAGAATCAAAGCGTAATTGATTCCCATAATCTTTTTCTTTAATTGTAGCTATGTTCCCTGTTGTTGTAAATTTTATTCTCACTGCTTTGGCTTTGTTCTTCTCCAAGAAATTAAAATTTGAGCCAGGTTGAAAGACAAGCTTTCTGTTGGCGTTATCTTTAGAAATCTTGCCTAAGGTTTTGCCCTCGTCTTCTTGCGATGGAATAATCTCAACAGTATTCAAAAGAACACCTTCGTGATCATGTTTCAACACGTCAATGTAAAGTCATTTTTCTACCTTGTTCCATGTTCCATAAATGGTTGTCGAACATTTGATAGTTCTTCCGTCAGCTCCCATAACAACGCTGATTGTCAAGTAGTCAGCCACTTCGGGACCTTGGAGTACAAAGACATCTGCACCAGCCCCACCAATCAGCTCATGTCTACCTCGAGTACTCACAAGGGTGTCATCTCCATCGTTCGCCTCAATAACTGTTTGTCCACCAACAGCTATGAGAAGATTGTCTTCGTTGCTGCCAATTATTTTTTTGCATGACGGGAAGCTAATAATGTTCATTACGTTTACCAAAGATACATTTTGTGCTTTGGAAGATTTCTTGTCTTTTAAAAGTACCCACCCCTTGTAGGCGCTTGAGGATGTACCATACACCTTAACTTTAAGACGGTTTTTACGGTTATGCATCAGACTCACTGTGTCGATCTGGTATCTCTCGTCTTCGTAAAACTTAAATGAAATGGTATTTTTTGATTCTTGACTTAGTTGGATATCGTAGCCGTGACCTAATCTTATGTTGAAGAGTCGCCTGGGCAATACTGTCACATCTTTTTTGCTTGTCAAAGAGCCAAGGAAATAATTTGAATGGTTTAGAATATATCTGCTTGCCCCATCATAGTTGATGGCATCCAAACTGCTGTAATAAAGTCCTTCGTATCCAAAAGACTTCATTTCAATAGTTGATATGTTTTGCAAGTAAACAACATGTTCAAAAGCAATGCTGTGATCGTCAGCTTGGCTGTTGATATTTCTAAGTTGCCAACTACTGTAAGTAGGGCGACATCGGGTACCGCCTGTCTTTAGGAGGCGGCACATATTGGATAATGAGAGTATTGTCTCCACTGCCGCCAATAATGTATTTGGCCCAAGTTGGAAAATAATGAAGGCCCCACCGTTTCTCAGCAAGTTTATCGGTATAATCATAATAGCCTAAAGTACCTCCAACAGAAACAACATTGTTCCCTTCACCAGTATACACCACATCATTAAAGCCGTACGATACATCTACAACATTATGGTCATCACTGCCGATGATAGTTGTTGGAATGTAGTGTGACAGTATACTCACATTATCTGGTCTTGCAGCAGAGATTGTTTCGAATTCATCAAATACGAAACTTTTTCTGAAAGCAAATACCAAAAGTGCTTCCAGCTTTTTATTTCCGGAGTATTGTAGATGTCCATCTCTATATACGGCACTGCTAGTAGAAATACGTTGAATGGCGTTTTTGGCGACACGCACTTTCTCTGGAACATAACCGTAATCGCGCACTGTGTATAAAGATATTCCATCACTGAAGTACTTGAAGCCATTTCTGTATGCCAGAAACCACAATATTTTGCTGTTTAACTCTTCGTGGTTTCTGAGAAACTCGGGATTCTGGCTTTCGAAGAAAGTCTCTAAACTGTGCGCCAGATCACTTGAAGACTTCATTCCTGGCTTATGAATAAATGCATTGAAACCGTCCGGCCAACCACGAAAGCAGGATCCTAGATTTATTCCTGATCTTCCCTTTTTGCCTCCTGAGGTATATCCAATATCCAGGTAAACTCCGGTGACTGGTGAGTTCATTGGAGGGGTTTTCCACTCTGGTCCCGTCCTACCCATCATGATGTAATTTTTATTCCAAAGGTCTTCTTTGAAAATCAAGGAGTGACCGGCTAAGGCTAGAGTATCTTCTCCTTCCTCACCCTCACACCGTCTGTCGACACCTGCCTCACAGACAATAAAATCGTCACCTTCTCCACCGAGAAGAGTGTCCCTTCCTGTTCCGCCATTAAGATAATCATTTCCTGGCCCACCAAAAATGCTGTCACTTCCGCCTCGTCCAAACAATATGTCATCACCCTCTTCACCATAAATACGGTCTGGACCAAAACCAGCTACAATTTCATCATCGCTTAGCCGACCTCGTAACGTTTTGCCGACACTTGTTGCGTCCATTAATGCTACTCTGTTTTCTTTGTTATGAAAATCTGCAATCGCTCTGGCGGTCAGACACTTGGTAAAATTCCTCTTTTCGTTTTGTAAAGTTGCCTTATCTGCATCTATTCCTGCTGCCTCCGCATCTACATAGTAGATAAAAATGTCAAATCCTCTTCTCCTGTATTCATCTTCCAAATTTTTCAAATACTTCTTAAATGCTTGGGACTCTATGTAAGTCTTAAATTCATCCTTTACTCGTTGTTCAATGGATCGAAAGTCGAACAAATCAGCAAAGAAACCAAGAACTGTATTCACCACCTGCAAGATTGTACTGATAAGATCTACGATTGGCGACAATGGCGGGAAAATAAAATCTAAGGCTAGACTTACTCCGTCCAGAATAGCTGTCACCCCATCAACAGCTGCCATGACCCCATACATAACAGCTTTACCGACATTACCCTGTTTTGCAGCGTCACTTGCTGCAATTGCATTCTTCGCCAACGACACAATACTCGTGCCAATTGAAATGGCACTGCCAACAAAAGGCGCAAACCGTATGGCTTTCTTCGCCACCTTTTCGCCAAATTTTTTTGCTAAATTATTTTTAATTCTTTTTCCAACAAATTCCCCAACATTTTTCATTCCACTGGCTATACCAAAGCTTCCTTGAGCAACTCGAAGTCGTCCGTTTCTCATCATCTCATTATATTCACTCTCGCTGATTGCACCCCTAGATCTCAAATCACGAGCTCTGTCAATCATATCACTCCCAGCTGCTGTGTCAATTCCTCCCTGAGCGAAACTAAGGCCAGTACTGGCAGTCTCTACACCATTTCCAACTTTCCGTAAAATTTTTCCAGCTATCTTTCTGGATGAGATCCTTGATCTTTCCTGTCCCAGTTTTTTCACCGTATTGAAGTTTTCTTGAGCCAGTCTTTGCTCACCGCTGACACCCTCAAAAGCTTTGATATTCTCAAATGATTCCGTCACCACCATCTCTTGGAGATCTTTCACACCAGTTCTCTTTAAGCGGAGATCTTTTTCAGTCTGTATGTTATATCCTACCATTCTTTGAAATACTCTGTGAACATCAATATTTTCTGACTTCTTCTCTAAAATGTACTTTAAACCATCGTATTTGAAATTTAAAGAGTCCATCGTTCCTAGCAAAAGAAAGAACTAGAACTGAGTAATGCAAGCTTTGAACATGTAATGAAAGACCCAAATTAAGCAATAAAGCAGACCCCACACTACCAACCCTGGCCATTTCCTTACGCATTCGCACAGGCATACCGTTGCAGTGGCAGCCATGGATAGATGTTTCGTCCTTGTTATTGGCATGTCATAGCTCCAGGTTAAAGGGTCTCTGTGATACGTTGAGGCTGGTGATTTTGCATTAACCTCGGCGGTAAATGACGGAGTCATGTGATCACGAGTGAGACCCTTACTCCTAGGGTAACATCATGCTGATAAGTTCTGACTAGAATCAGCTGTTCATGGCTGCCACTGCTCTTGATGCACATACGACGGAATTTGGTAGATCGTGCTTCCTTGCTTTATTTCTGTCTTATATACTGAAAGACCCAGTTAAAAATTGTAATTTACGCTCTTACCAATTGCAAAACTAAGGCTTTTTTCGTACCTGTCGTTATATCATTGATGTCTTCAGGAAGTTCAGCCATGAAACCCCCAAACGTGGATCCTGCTCCTGACATGTAGTTACTGTATCTTATCAAGTCGTTCTCTGATTCAGTCTCTTCTCCAGTTATGACTTCACCCCTGAGTCCGACGTCTTTTATTGGATTCGAATCTTCTTGGAGTTCAGGTAGATCGGTTCCTTCATAAACCACGAAAAAAGAGAAAAAAAAATAACAAAAGTGGCAAGCAAGATCAACCAAGGTAGCAAACAAGATAAGTGGATTCAGCAAACAATAAGCAAATGCCAAGTAGCCTGCGCCCGCCACAGACGAAACTAAACTCTGGTTAAGTCCGTCTACGAAACAGCGCGGAAGTACTTTTCCTGCGCCTCCACCTGTGTACAAGGGTTCGTGTACGCTCCATTAGTGACCTGTTAAAATGCCATTGTCGATTGGCCAGTCAGGTTGAAGGGAAATTCGAAACACACTTCCGGTAATTTGTTGAGTCCGTAGGGGGCCCAGAACGAGGATTTCGGCGATGCTTCGCAGACGTTACTAACCTGGGTTAGATTACGTGTCAGAGACGCAGGCTAAAACTAAGGGACCAATCATTATTTATCGCCTGGTTTGGGGCGTTGGAGGGTTGGCGGCGTTGGAGAATTTGGGGCTTACCAAGGTGAAGTTTAGCCGATCCCCCTTTGAATGTTACTTCACTGAAGTGATCCCCACTTATAACATTTGATGACTTTCGCGATTCCCCCCACGTCTTCATTTTCCATGCAAATTTGAGTGGTCCCCCCTCTGAATCCTTCCAAAGTTTTCAGCAATCCTTCCTTTTGGGTTCTCAGTTACGACTGATCCCCCCTTTTGTTCTCCTAAAAATCAAGTAATCCCCCAAAATCCCCACCCCCCAGGTGATAAATAATGACCGGTCCCTAAGCAACCAGCAAACCTATAGTCATCATGTTTCTTTCGCCATCTAGTGCCTCTTTGAACTCCGTAAGAATTTGTTTGAAATCAGGATCTCTTTTCAAATCTTCCAAACTCTGATAATAAAAAGCTTCCACTTGCTTCCCTTGTGCAGCACTTTCCTCTCTCAACATATCAATCATCCTCTGAACAACGACTTCTGGATCAAAAGCCCTAGGGTCATCCTTCCAGGATGCTGAAACGTCGTTACATAGATTTTGGGACAAGTTGTTGAACCATTTAGCTTGCAATGTTGTGCTGAAGAAATCATCAACGTCGTCCTCCTCATCGTGTTGTACAGGACTAGTTTGGGAAGTTTCGATACACTGTAAGAGACACACAAAGGAATCGTTTTACACCAAACCTTGCGGATTTGAAAGACAGTTGCTGGCCGTCTGATAAAAAGAGAACAATTGAAGGAAATTGCCCCCCTTACTCAGTTTAGACCAAACTGAGGCCCGGAGAGCCGAAAAAATTTTTTTGGAGACCGGGCACCCCTTATCTCAGGGTCTAGGTGGCCGCCCCCCCCCCCTCCCCTTCCTAATCTGAAGGTCTGGATCTGCCACTGTAGTCCGCCTTACACTGGTAATCTTGTGTTTTAGTTGTAAAAAATTATTACCCGGGAACAACCCTTATTTTGCCCAGGACGGGGAGGTGCCGCTGAACAGGGTATAGTTTTCAGAGTTTAGAATCTTAGACTGGGTATGCAATTTCACTATCTAGTATATCTAGCGTTTCGTCTCAGCTCATGCGGACACTTTTACCCGAAGTATTCCACCAGGAGATCAGACAATTATGCTGGTAGTATTTTGTCTCATATCTTTTTTCCGTTTGGTACCCGTTTTAAGATTACTCAGCCCTTTGTCAACCCCACTTAGGTCGCACGACAAAGAGTTTTCTCCCGAAATCAGTAAACCCAAAGCTTTTCTCCAACAATAACCGAAACTTTCATACGCCTTCCGAATCCCAGTACGATTCTGGAAAATCCAGAAATGATATGGCTTGAATAGTCAAAAGTTGATAGAAAGGTCTCATAGGAGCCAACTTATGAATTTAAACGATTTTTAATTGGCCCTTTGTTTGATTACATCTGCAGAAAAACTACAAAGCAAGTTAAAGTACACGCCAAAAACGATCAAATGTACCGCTGACAACAGGTCAAAGATAATACAAATTTACTCTGTTCCACTGTACGCCAGATTCTATTTATTAAAGACTTCCCGATTTTTAGTGATTACATAATACCTGAGGCAAACTAATATCGACATTCTGCTTCAGGAATTGAACAAGAGTTTTAAACATTTATTATTAAACAAACAAGAAATAAGATTCGTGAAACCTCTCAACAGAGGTCGATATTCACACCTTCAAATTAACTTCGGTTTATAGGCAAATAAAACTTTATTTGTCCTTAAATGTCCAAAGGGAACAAAAAATATGAGAAACAGATTTGTTTAGTTCGACAGAAAAATTTCAGTCCACTTTCGTCAGTTATCTTTGATGTTATAGGAAACGACGAGATGAGAACGATTTGTCACTTAGAGTCAGGGTTATGTAACACATGAGAGCATCACTTCACCATAAAAAGGGCATATAAAGAATTAGTAAAAAAAGTTCTATTAAACATTGTCCTCATTCTTCTTCATTTAAGTTAATCCAAAATCAATTGTTTAGTCTAACTGGCTATGAATTTCCTAACATATCTAATCAAACCTAAAAAAAATAAACAAACAAACAAACAAAAAATGTAACCAAAGTATGGAATTTATATAAGTCACATGCGTCACATGAATTGATGGTAAGAAAAATAGTCATTAAAGCGTTACATAAAAAGGTCATTTTACGGATAGAATTTGTTTTAAGAGGAAGTACGCCTTATATTCAAGGTAACGAAATGGCTTTTAGACCCGAGAAAGGCGTAGTATCATGATTATCTGATAGAAATAAAAACCATGATACTAAGAAAACTTACCTTTAGTATTATATAGAAAGCAACTAACCATCGAAATGTATTGGGGAGTGCCGCTAAACACGACATCTTCCCTACTTGTTCCAATGTAACAAATCATCTCAGGAAAGTATCATATAAAGTAATACCAGGAAAACTCCGATCAATTACACGTCACTAGGGCCTATCAAATTTGCGATCATCCAATCATTTCATCGGTCAGACATGTTTGCAGGTGGTTTACTGATGAACACCTCGTTTTCGTTTGGTACCTGTTTTATTATATGTATTGTATCTCTAGAAGGTTCATTCACACAATTTTTTTAACACTTGTTTTAAGTATAAGATAACTCCGAAAGTTATAAACAATTTTTTATCTGCTAACTGTTATTAAAAATGTTAAATAACATATTGTCAATATTCATAAATAAGCTATAAATGCTCTGTCAATAGTGAAAACCGGAAGTCGTTTGTGCTTGGTATTTTCTTCGTCCCTTCGGGAAGTCGTTCAAGCCAGTACTCGTTCAGTTGAGCACAAAGTCCACTGGGGACCTCCTTGTCTTCCCTTCTGTTATCTGAGCTGGACAGAAGCATCGTTCACAGGTTGTTTTGCCGCGATGCCGACGGTAAGCGGCAAATAGGAGTCAGCGGACAAGGCACAAATATCAAGATGATTCACTTGATGGTTGATCCAGGAGACGTGTCACGTGATTCCCATCAAAACATGAAAAACAGATGGAGATTAGGGAATTCTCGGATTCAAGCTTAGTAAACCCGCTGGTTATTAGTATCGCGGCCGTTTGCGTTGACCCTGTTTGCTTTGGTGGTCGTGGGCATACTGTTAAGACGGAAACTGCTGACCAAACAATCGTTGAGTGCCCATCTGGGAAGAATTCAAAAGAGGAGTCGATTGAGCAGGGTTGAAAGAATTAATGAAATAAGTAGCATATACAAATTAAAAGTATATGATATACTTTTGCTTCATATTTTCTACTTCAACACTTAACACACCAATGCAGTCAAAGAAACAAGAACTGTTCTTGTTCAAGTTCTTGTGGTTAGATCACGCAAATAGTTTCTAGTTTAATGTCTGGATCAAGTTTTATAAGTAAATAGGCCACGATTTTTGCATTCCCTCATCAGGAGCGTAGCTAGGGGGGGTCCTGGGGTGCCCGTGACCCCCCTTTCGTAGGCCTTCTTTTGAGCAAACAACCTACAATATTCAGGTGGCGAAAACGTCATGACAATATCTTGGCCGTAAAAGCCATTGTTGAAAAGCCCACTTTTTTAAAATTTGTTTTTTTTGTAAAGTATTTTCGTCAACAGCTCTTGTCTTTAGTTAACTCATGCCACGATAATACGACTGCTGGCTAGAAGCTATTTTGTAGACTTGTCCTGCCCACTATACTCTCACTGCTCATCCCAAAATTGTAACATTAAGTAAAACATGCACGGCGTGGAAGTCGACATGACAATCTAGTGAGTAGCCTCTGTGACCCCCCCTTTGAAAAATCCTGGCTACGCCCCTGCTCATGCATAGTATACTACGTACACAACAACAACAACAACAACAAAAGCTTTATTTGCATGACCATAAAGGAATTACAGTATTGCAAAAGCTATTAGTCTAAATTTAAGTACTAATTCAACTAATTAGTACGTGCAAAAAAATTACAAAACGTTACAGTTCTCATTCATTCATTCATTCATTCATTCATTGATATTAATTTGGTTCTTAATTCAAAGCATTGCGAGATAAATGAAACTAATTGACAGTTAATTAAATAATCAGAAGAATTCATAAGAAGAGATATTAAAGTATCGTGTGAAAGTGATTTGAAGTCAGGTATTTTAGTTTCTAGTTTGGAGAAAAATATGTCTCTGATCTGAGAATAAGCCTTACAATCTAGTAAGAAATGATTTTCATCTTCGATTTTGTTACTTGTACAAAAGTGACATATCCTTTCATTACGAGGAATGTTTTCGTATCTACCTGTTTCAATTCTAAGTTGATGACTACTTATTCTAAATCTAACTAATGCTTTTCTCGAAGGGTTTTTTCTTGTTAAAACTAGGTACGGCGAGGGGCTATAGTCGTCTTTGATTGTACAATAAAAACTGAGTTTTTGTGATTGTTGAAGGGTCTGATTCCAGTAAGAGACGTATTTATTTTTCATTATGCCGATATACCTATTAACTATTGAGTCACTCAATGAATTACAGGAAAAGTCATAGTTTAGATCATAGTAGTCAACCATTTTCATGAGATTAGAGTAAAAGCTAGTTTTTCCGTTATGATGAAGGTCAATTGAAATTTGTAAGGCCTAGAAGAACCAATGTCTATATCATTAAATATCAATAAATATCAATAAAAACATGATAGCAAGTAACAGATTAGAGTTACCATCGTCATCTTCGAGGTTGTTTAGCTGCGCGTGTAGCTAGTGTTTTAACCAGTTCTCCTTTGTAGAGGTCCCAGCTCTCTAGACACTGGATCCTGTGACGAGCGTCGGGTACTGTCATGTACTCCTCCCTCTAATGAAACAAATAAACATTTATTTTAGATAAGCGAGCTCACTGATCTAAGGGCGCTTACCATTTGTCAGAACAGGCTGGCCGGACCAGTCCAGTCGTCAGGAGAATTCTACCATTGAGAGTCCCCGATAGGGTTCTTAAATCCCGTAATCCCTCCCCAGAATTTCGTGCAATCCCGTAATCCCGAGGGTTACTATTGGCATCTCACCTCCCGCGTATACTTCCGAATCTCGCCTCGAGTTTGCTCCAAAATCCCGAATCCCGAACTTCAAATAAGGGAAATGTCGGATCCTGAAAAACTTATTAGGAGCCCTTAATATTGAAAAGGAATATCCCGGGGCCCGGAAGATAACAGATAAGTTTATTCCTAAATGGTATGCACGACTGTGAGGGATATTAGTAAAAATTTTGAGAAAAGACTAATATTTCATTCTCAAACTGACTGGTCGGGCCGACCAGTTCTGACTTGTGGTGAGCGCCCTAAGCGTGAGAATTAGGTTTTGAAGCAATTTACAAATGAAGGGTGAACGACTTGTCGCGCGAGCTCGTAAAAGACGTCCAAGATTCTCCGATAAGTAATTACTCTTATTTTCCACAGTACCAAGAGAACATTACCTTGTTTTACGGTAAGAATGTTTGTACTTAACGAAGATACCGTACGACAACTAAAAAATTGTTGACACAGATTTACTGCATCTGACAACCTGTAATATTGTCATTTAGCTTCTTAAGTTTTATCGCTTCACATGCCTCAAAAAGACAAGCTTTAATGCGACTGTAAAGCGACTAAAACCTGTTGTTTAAAATTACTGTACAAGTTCGCTTTACACTTACCAAAGCTTTAAGCTGTACCAAGGTCGTAATACTGGCGTTCATTAAAAAGAACCTTTTGTTGATCATAATGCACTCGGCTCCTTCACTTATCTGAGTAGGTGATCAACAGCTATTTTAGAACAGATTCAATGTCGATACACTCAAAGCAGTCATCTATATCTAAACAACTGTGAACAGCTGTGATATAGCCTATTTCAACCGACACAGGTCAGTGTTAAGACAGCGCAAATATAATAGACGAGCTACATAGTCAGATTTGGAAGGGCCGAAGAGGTACGCTGGCACGCAAGAAACTCTTCCCCCGAGATCCGCCCTGACCTGACCAGAAAGTCTGGTCAGAGGATATTGTGGTGAATAAAGAAAGCCGTCAATCGCAACAGGTGAAGTTGCCATATCACTGGCGTCTCCTTGTCGGCTATTGACAAGGACCTGGAAACGAGCTTCCTTCTACAGTTGACTCTGCTCGTAGCTGTAACACCCTCTATTTCTATGTGATGTTTCTTTGGCACCTGTGAACTAATTTCCTGTCACACCGAAATTTTTAGGGAGTTATTATAACTCCATAAATGGAGTAAAAATTTTAGGTATAGGATAACCCTTTTTGGGGGGTTATTTTAACTCCTAATTTAAAAGAGTTCTTTTTACTCCCAGTCTGGAGTTAAAATAACTCCGAAATGGGGTTACTTTTACTCCTTACATGGGTTGTTTTTACTCTTTTTGGAGTTAATTTAACTCTGAAAATGGAGTAAAACTGTTAGGTACAGGATAACTCCTTTTTGGGGTTATTTTAACTCCTCAATATCTGGGGTCACTTTTAATCCTGAAAAAGAGTTCTTTAAACTCCTTTTTGGAGTTGAAATAACTCTCCAAAAAATAACTCCACTGTAAGGAGTTAAATTAGCCCCACTAGAGGAGTTACTACAACTCCTTGAAAATTACTGTGCACTTAAAGTTATTTTACACTCACCAGTATAAGACTTTTAGTGGAGGGATCCTGATTTTCTTCTACTACATCAGCCTACGAGCCATTAAAATATACGTGAACATTGTGGATGATATGGTTTAGGTATTATCTTCTCCTCATTATAATTTTTTAAAAGTAGAGAAACAGGTAACATAAGCGAAGGGAGAAAGGGAGGACCCCTTGGGTCAATAGTGGAAGGGCTAAACTACCCCCCGGGACTACCCTAAGGGGTGCGAAAGAAACAACTTAGCGTGACCTACCTCTGAACTTATCTTGGTTGTTACTTTCGGCATCATAGACTCAAGTCCCTGTAAAGAAAAAAGAACAACGCGTGACGGAACGGTCAGAGCGCTGGACTTGTAATTATTCGGCAGGCGAGAGGAAGAGAGAATTTCAGAAAAAGAGGCCTNTGTTAGGTACAGGATAACTCCTTTTTGGGGTTATTTTAACTCCTCAATATCTGGGGTCACTTTTAATCCTGAAAAAGAGTTCTTTAAACTCCTTTTTGGAGTTGAAATAACTCTCCAAAAAATAACTCCACTGTAAGGAGTTAAATTAGCCCCACTAGAGGAGTTACTACAACTCCTTGAAAATTACTGTGCACTTAAAGTTATTTTACACTCACCAGTATAAGACTTTTAGTGGAGGGATCCTGATTTTCTTCTACTACATCAGCCTACGAGCCATTAAAATATACGTGAACATTGTGGATGATATGGTTTAGGTATTATCTTCTCCTCATTATAATTTTTTAAAAGTAGAGAAACAGGTAACATAAGCGAAGGGAGAAAGGGAGGACCCCTTGGGTCAATAGTGGAAGGGCTAAACTACCCCCCGGGACTACCCTAAGGGGTGCGAAAGAAACAACTTAGCGTGACCTACCTCTGAACTTATCTTGGTTGTTACTTTCGGCATCATAGACTCAAGTCCCTGTAAAGAAAAAAGAACGACGCGTGACGGAACGGTCAGAGCGCTGGACTTGTAATTATTCGGCAGGCGAGAGGAAGAGAGAATTTCAGAAAATGAGGCCTCTGTCAGCAAGGAACCAAAAGACATGCTCTTAAGAGCAAAAATGTAACTTGGGAGCTTCGATAACGTGACGCAATCACAAGAAATACATTGGGAGTCCGTGCAGATCTCTCTTTGACTTTCTTTGTATGCAAAACATCACCAGACAAGGGAAACGAAACGTAGTATGCAGAGAACAAGTTAATTCATACAATCATTGCCTGCGACGTTAGGAGAACGCAACCTAAACTCGACGCGCGAGGAATACTGGGTACGAGCAGAGATCAAGTGGTTGTATACTTACAAACATATTTCCTGGTTTAAGCAGAGCAATCTGTAGAAGTGCTGTTCTTGTGGGGGCGCTGACCGACAATTCCGATGGTCTCTTTTGTACTTTGCTCACCCTCCTAGCGCATATTTCACCGAACGGGAAAAAAACTGGATCCTGTTAAAGCAACAAAATATCGGTTTCACTTATTAAAATGATAAAAATATCCATAAGGGCCGAGTAGTCTCTGAGGGGTGGACAAAGGGGAAAGACGGCTACGGAGAGTCAAGCGGGCCCTGAGGACAAATATGGTTGACGAAGAACATCTCAAAAATACAAATGACTTACTGCTTTAAGGTCGACAGTCTTCTCCAAACTGCGCTTTTCAATTTCCTTAGGTCTTGCATCGTCTGCAAGATGTGATTTTTCTGTGACACAGAAACAAAAATTAATATTGGAAGTCATTAGCGTCGTTACTACAAGTGTTTACAAATTCATGTTGCGCCAGAGTGTTGGTTATATGCTGGCTGTTTTTTTTATCTATCCGTTCATAAAAGTGGGATTTAGTCATTACTTCTGCATGTTTTAAGTCTTCCTTTTGAGTGGCGTAATCTCTCTTAACGGATAACTCCATGAGGCGGACACTCCCCAAAAATGGACACCTGGAGCCGGGCTGTTCCTTTCGAACTTCAGTCATTTTTCCTAGTCTGTCCATAAAGCGGACACTTGGTGCAGGTGCCAATTCTGTCCGCTTAAGGCCAGAAAAAGTTAAATGCTTGCAAATTCTTACTTTTTCTACAGTCGAGCTCCCCTTTCAGCATTAATTAGGGAGCTTAAGCAACAACGACGGCAAGGGCTACAAAAAAGTCACTTAAAAAGTGAATTCGCGCTGCCTCAAAGTAATCGCGCTTATTCCATCTCGCTTAATTCGTAAAATTTTTTCGGAGTTGAATTCTAAAGGACTGTATCAAAGTTCAGGAAAAGGTCCTCGGCAAAACGTGAAATTAGGCACTTTCACGTTGTAGTCGTGCAACGACGCTAAGAAATGTACAAAAAAAGCGCGATGAACGTGAAAGGTTGTTGTTTTGCTAATATAAACTTATTGCTTTTTGTGCCGTTCTCGTTGCCGTCGCCGTCGTAACGTACGAAACAGCGTTTCCTAAGAACCACGCAAACAGATTTGATATATGACAGAGCAGATTATATATAAAAGTTTATATATTTTCCGAGTAAACCATATCTTTTACTTACTCACCTTCTGTTGATTTCTGTTTGCAGAAGCGTGGTGAGTTTTGCTTGCAAAAGCACTGAGAAAGCTATAACATAATAATAATATATAAAAAGGAGATATTCTTCCCATGACTATGAGCTTGCATCTCGGGTACGTCCTTGTACGGACCCTTGGCCGTGCAATAAGAACGAAGCAACGACGGAAGAAGGATTTTAAAAACTTTATACTGGTGACGTTGCGCCATTCAAATTTTGGGTGGTTTACTTCATAGCCTGCCATACAGGTGCTTGTAAGTAATACGCGCCTCGTTCTTTCTTGCGCCCATGACTTCAAAGCCTCTGCTACTAGGCTTTGATAGATTAGGTTAACATAAGTTTTGGCATAATATGTCATTGCGTGCATAATTTTGACCTTTTTTCCGCGAAAAGCACTGCTAGTATATTTTGCACTTTTGGCTGGTTTTGCAGCAAGAAGTTGTCATTTGTTGGTCATGCAAACATTTTTTTCGGCCCGAGATCAGTGTTAAAGGCAAATTTAAGAAACAAAATGATTTCTTTCTGCTTATTGTCATATTCATAGTACGAGAGCATCTCTATCCAAAATTAAGGCTGTAGAAAACAGATTTTAGTAAGGGAAATTATAAAACAATTTTATACAAAAGAGGATGGGGGCGGGGCGACCCTTGCTGGCTTAATCCTCCTTCCGGGGGTAAACTGGATAGGGGTTTCGGAGGTCTAAATCCCAGGGAGGAATGGTGGGAAGGGCCTGCTGTATGTAAGGGAATATTTGAAAAAGAGGTTAAGAAGAACGACATTTAGAAAAAGAGAGCAGAAATAACTCGCAATAAGCTATTTCCGAGTTCCCCCAGGCCTCTGTATCAAAACGAGGTTAAGTGCTCAGCCTCTGATATTCTCGTGCAAAAAAACTCATTCCACAAGAAAGGTTGTGCACTTGGCCTCATTTTGAAAGTGAGGGTTTGTGGAACTCGGAAGTAGCCTATTACGCATACCTCGAGTAGACTTGTTGGATTTTTTCCAGGAGTTGAGCCTTCAAAAACACGAAATGATCAGAAATAACTAATAATGTATAGTCTGGATGTCATAGTTTTAAATTTGGAAATATTTGTTCGAAACCAGAGTTAGTAGAAACTCGCTAGGCTACGTGTTTTTCTTTGTGTTAATTGGACTTAAGTCGTCTAAACTGCGAAATTATCGAGCGGTTCAAAGCAAAGATAGGAAGTCAAAGTAAGTTAGCGTGCGTAGCAAGCTTCTCCGTGCGGTTTCGGAGCAAGGAACGAGGAACGACAGTCAAAGACCACACGAAAAAATAAAATGGGGCGAGTAAGGGAACGAAGAAGGGGTACTGGGTAAGGAAGAAAGGGTTAGGGTTAGGGTTTCCTTCCCCTCCCCCTCCCCCATTTCAATTTTTGGCTCTCGTTCGTTTTTCATGCGGCCAAAACCAAAGATCATCCCGTTCGTTCCTCGGTCTTTCTTTGCTCCGAAACCATACGGAAACGCTTGTTACGCAGGCTATAGTAAGTGGATTCATCGAACATTGCCCTGTGAGATTTAATACCGCAAAATTTTCTCTCTTCTCTACAAACTAACTTTCTTTTTTGTCCTAACTACACAAACGGCACCAAACTACGTTGAAAAGTGAGAAGATATAAGTCGAAAATTCGAAAATATGAAGCCAGGGGCTTGACACTTACGCGGGGTAGTTTTAGTTACGGTAGTGATGCTGGGCAGCTTAGTAGTCTTGCTCATGTCCAGAACATCTTGTTTTCTAACCACCTTACATCTTCCCTGTGGTGGAAACAGTATGTTACAGTGTATAATACCTCAAAAGAAACACTGAAAACCGCTAAAGCGGGTGGGCTCCCTAGATAAATGATGATGATAATAATAATAATAATAATAATAATAATAATAATAATAATAATAATAATAATAATAATTTAATTATCATTAAAAAGAAACTTTAAAACTTATCAGTACGAGTCTCTTGGGATTGCTCATCTCTCAAGCGTGGTTCTTAGACTGTTAGGTCTTCAGGGTTCATCTTTCGAGCAAAAAACTCCGAGCCAATCAGAGCAGAGTAGGATTTTCAACAATGTGGGTGACATCAATAAAATACTAAAGTAGACCAAGAAGCTCAGCGGCTGGCGATCGAGCCTAGACGATCCCGGAACAAACAGATTTCACGATAGCCTGGTTGCCAGAGGGTTTTCATGCGTGGTTTCCGGTTTTGGTTTAGCCTACCACGCATGCGTTCTTTGGGTTTCGTCACCCGTTCCTTCTCTAGCCAAAAAAAACGTCTGCGTGGGAGGCTAGTTTAGGTAGACTTTGGAGGTTTTTTTCCCGCGGCTTCGCCCTTCGGCCGAAGATGGGTCGGGCAAGCCGAGACTGAAGCATGCCCCCGCACGCGAAAAAACAGTGATATATACTGGTCGACAGTCATCCTTACCGATTTAACGATGTAGAAATATGGGGTGTCATTACTGTCTTTTACGATTACTGTATCCTTCCTGAAAACAAGTCATTGAAAGAGAAAGAGTTGTCAATTCACGTATCATATCATATGATCTGGGGGATGTAATGATGAAAAAAATGATCCACACGGAGATAACTGTCATTTATGCCCAAGGATGAGAAAGTGGAAGTCGTCGTCGACGAAGAAAAAGTCGAATAAAGAACAATCTATGACGCACGTTGTTGATCGTTGTTTTTACAAAAGTAGATCATTATCAAAGATGCATAGGATAATTTAGACAACTATACTTACGCAAAATATTTGGTTACTATTGCATCTTTTTCTTCGAAAAACTTTTCCAGTGGAAAATTGCGAAAAAGCTCGATTGATCTGTTAAAGTTTGAGAGAGAAACATCATTAAAGAAAGATAAGTTAGTAGTAACAGTCACAGATTTGTTACCGAAACCATTTGTTGCCGGGGTGCCCTCCCCCTGATCTATAGAGTGTTTTCACATGACGTCACGGCGGCCATATTGGTGTCCCAAAACAATGAAACGGCGGCCATGTTGGTGTCCCAAACCAGTCCCGTGGGAGTTGAATTCCTTTCTTATGCAAACGCTTTCTTTTGTTTCAATAAATTTGCATAGATGCTGGCCACGTGAGTGAAAACACTCTATAAGAAACCTTTATAACGCACGTGAAAATCTCCCTCGTCACGCGTGACTCTCACGTGCCAAGAGGGCGAGCCTCTTCTTTTCCGCGTTTGCATGCCTAAAGGCAAGTTCGATCAGTTCGGCGCGTTTTGGAGTCGAAAGGAAATACGTAAGTTAGAAAAGACAATAAAAAGCCTCATTTTGTAAGTGTTTTGTTGAGCAGATAATTGACTAAATGATGCAGAAAAGAATTCCGCTGGTTACGTAGAGCATGTCTCTCTAAGTTGCCTCTGATAAGGAAAATATGGTACGATTCGGTATTCCTAAGTTAACGTTAAGTATTTTTGATTTTGCTATGGATTCTTCATATGTCATTTTGATCTTTATATCAAATAAAAAATAAAAAAGGCCCCTGGATCTCTGTTTATATTTGTGTATACCAAACACAAGTGTTATTTAATTGACATGCCTGGCTTATTAACAAGGAAGTCAGTTATACATGTAAGACGCTCTGCGGTGTATTCTATCGAAATTCATAAATCAACACGGTGGATGTCTTAGTCTGACAAGATATGTGTACCTATCAATCCGGCCCCGGTTGTTCAAACTTTATATAGTGCTGTAAGACGCTCTGCGGTGTATTCTATCGAAATTCATAAATCAACACGGTGGATGTCTTAGTCACAGCCACCGGATAGCACTATCCAAAGTGCCAGTAACGCAATTGGTTTCCCTAATACTTATCCGCTGGATAGTGATTTATCCCGTCGATAGCGCTACCCAGCTTTTGAGCAACTAACCGGGGCCTGGTTTTAAGTGTGACATTAGACAGTATTAAATAGTTGTATCCAACGTTGAGTCAAACAACAATACCTTAATATTTCAATCGGAAGGCCGCTGTCGGGACTTGTACTCATGAGTTCCATAAAATCCTACAACCAAATATCCGTTAGATTGCCAAAATTAGATACAGAGGCAGAGATAGACACCGTAAACAGTTTACCGCGATTTCTTCAGCCTGACAGTCCGAGAAATCATGAGCTCAATTCATCTCAAGTTAACCTCCATCTCATTTTCGTCCTTCGCTTAGCTAGCTTATTGCCGACTCAAAGTAAAACGTCAATGGAATTTGCTTCTTAGTCAAATGAATTTTTCATTGGATTAGAATGTGATTAGAAACAAATTACAAAGAGATCTATTTTACGTCTCGCCTAATTTGACAGTTGAGATTTTGATTAGTGGATTGATGGATTATTTGGTCACTTTACGCATTGTTAATTAAACGCAAATGACAAAAGTAGACGGTGCGTGAAAAGCACTTACGCTTCTAGTTGTTATTATAAACATTAGCATTATAATTCGTCCCAAATATATTAATTATTTATGCGAATAGACGGGAAAAATTAATTAGAAATTAAAGGTAAAGCCGATGCGGCGGCCGGAAGTTACATCAGAGGACCTTACATGACGGTATATACCGACTGGTTAGCAACCAATCAAATCAAGACTCTTGGTCAACAAATGAAATGCTGTCTTAATCAAGGCTGGAACTTTACCTCCCTATCCAGAACGAGTACTTCGACAGGCCCCTTGCAGATGAGTGAATGTTCCCTTTTTATACCATTCATTAATTCAACAGGCTGAAATCAAGAAAACGCANAACAATACCTTAATATTTCAATCGGAAGGCCGCTGTCGGGATTTGTACTCATGAGTTCCATAAAATCCTACAACCAAATATCCGTTAGATTGCCAAAATTAGATACAGAGGCAGAGATAGACACCGTAAACAGTTTACCGCGATTTCTTCAGCCTGACAGTCCGAGAAATCATGAGCTCAATTCATCTCAAGTTAACCTCCATCTCATTTTCGTCCTTCGCTTAGCTAGCTTATTGCCGACTCGAAGTAAAACGTCAATGGAATTTTCTTCTTAGTCAAATGAATTTTTCATTGGATTAGAATGTGATTAGAAACAAATTACAAAGAGATCTATTTTACGTCTCGCCTAATTTGACAGTTGAGATTTTGATTAGTGGATTGATGGATTATTTGGTCACTTTACGCATTGTTAATTAAACGCAAATGACAAAAGTAGACGGTGCGTGAAAAGCACTTACGCTTCTAGTTGTTATTATAAACATTAGCATTATAATTCGTCCCAAATATCTTAATTATTTATGCAAATAGACGGGAAAAAATTAATTAAAAATTAAAGGTAAAGCCGATGCGGCGGCCGGAAGTTACATCAGAGGACCTTACATGACTGCATATACCGACTGCTTAGCAACCAATCAAATCAAGACTCTTGGTCAACAAATGAAATGCTGTCTTAATCAAGGCTGGAACTTTACCTCCCTATCCAGAACGAGTACTTCGACAGGCCCCTTGCAGATGAGTGAATGTTCCCTTTTTATACCATTCATTAATTCAACAGGCTGAAATCAAGAAAACGCAAGTTTTGCTTCTTTGGACGTGTATCCTGCTTCCGCTAACAAAGCAAGGCCAGTAGCCTGTTCCAGGCTCTCACATAGCAGGGATGACGCCTGGATGAAGCGTAAGTGAAAGGCAAGCGAAGATGATGAGCTCTTAGATCTGGAAAAGGGAGTCCCACTATCTCGGAGCCTGGAACAGGCTATGTCGCCAGCGATCAGCTAACTCTGTGACCACTGGTAGCCCAAGCTCGACATATGAGCATCGGAATTGTTGCGTAGCCTATCAATGTGAAAGGATTTAAACAAAAATTCCCTGACCCGCACTTAAGTTGAGTGTTTCTTCTTTCCTGTGTAAATCCCGAGCCGCTGATCTATGGCCATTTTAATTTAAGAGTTTATTGTAACCTTTTTGCTTTCTCTATGATCCTTTCTCACAGGTTATCTTCATACAAATCCTCATACTTCAAAAGTTACACAACTATACCGATAATCGTATATCGAGCTTGAGCTACCGGCGCAAATAAAGAAGTGCTGTTTGCTCGCAAGACCGTGCTAAATAAGTTTAGGTCTTTTCAGTTTATGCTGCGCCACAATTTTCAGGGTTTTTCCGCCGGAACGATTTAGTGTAAGAGCACGCCCTCCCAGTTTTCATGGTACGAGAAGGCAAGAGCGCTTGGAAGTCAGGCTTGAATTTTAAGGGCAACTTACATCAGTAGTGTTTCCTTGCATCAGTTCTCCAAAAGACATCTTGGTGACACCAGCCGCTAAGTCATACATGCACACTTTACTAACTGGTGAAAGGAAATTGATAAGTATTAGAATTTAGCTTACCTCATCATCTGGAAGACAGAATAAGAGTATCTAAAACAATCAGTAAAAGGAATCACTTCTCGAGGAAGAATACGTAAGCAGCGTACTCCTTTCAAACACTTTCCCTTTGCATCCTTTCTTATTCTAAGTCGCCCAATCCGGATTCCCAAATCTGGGAAATTTTGGCTTAACAAATCCCTAATCCTAGGCTTTGGAATCCTGAATTCAGTTCAAGAAATCTGTAATCCGGAATCAAGGTTCCACTCGCAAAGATTCCGAAATCCAGTACTGACTTAGAATCCAGAATCCGCATCCAAGACTGTCTTGGATAACCTCACCTGAGGCGATGTAAGGCTTAAATATGTTACTTGTGGTTCTATACTTACCCTTGGCCTCTTCAGATCAGGATTAACACTTGGCTTAGCAGGCAGGTTACACTTATAATTAGGCAGGAATCTACAATACGATTTTTCATGTTCCTCGTTCTTACTCTCCCATTCTTAATGAGAAATATAGGAAAAGTAGGATCATTTGAGATTTTTGGGTAACTGACCGGCCTACCCCTCTCCAAGTCACAATTTTGCCCTAAGCGAGAATTGAGCGTTAATGTTGACCTAGGGGAGGGGTAGGTGGTCAGTTACACAAAAACCTCCGAAAAGTACAATTTAGCATGCCTTACCTCTCCCAGAGAGTACGTAATAGAACCTTTGAGGTGACCTTCCCTGACACGCAATGACTCTTCCATTGTCGTATCTAGAATAGAGAAAAGGAAACGATAAAAATCAAACTCAACATAGCCTTTGTTCCCAGCCGTCGTTCCGGAGAATGGCCCCAGACTAGAGCGGCGGAAATTGAGGCTAAACGCCACACTGCAAGATAAAATAAAGAATAAAATATAAATTGTTAACGTTCAGAGAAACAGTACAGATGTAGTGGTTTATTGCTGAGTTGGTTGGACTCATGCATGTACAGACCTGTACAGGCCTAATCCTTTGCCATTCTTACTGTTCTCTTGCTGAATGTCAATAAATAGCCACAGGACTATTATTTACGATGTTTTAATAGCCATGAAGGAACACTTACCTCTCATAGGCAACACAACGAGACAGATCGACCTCTCTTTCCAGCGGAAAAATCATGAACGCGCGCGTACTACGACACAGCCTCTGGACCTAACAAGGAAGTATTCAATGTTGATATCGATTTTAGAAAAAGGAATCATTTCATAATGCAGTGTCATCCGTTTCTTACTTGCTTAATGGCCTTGACATATCAGCCGTTATATCATATCATGCCAAAGAAAAAAGGGGCGGTCTTTAGTGACGATAAGAACCAACTCACATCAAACATGCAATCCAGACTGGAATAACTATAAAATGAGACACTACGCTGTAAAGCGGTATGGCAGTTTCTTCTTTTTATTTCACTATCATTACCTTTTTAAGACCTTCATTTGTTCTCGCCCGAGGGACCGAAGTTAGAATCTGTCGAAGCTCCTCTGAGATCTGATAGAAAAGAGAAGCGAAGAGATTAGCAAGTTTTTCTATCACTAACCAGGGTACCAGAGGGTTTGTTTTATCGCTTGTGGGTGGATGCTTCGGTGTCGGCCGAATTCACGAGCAGCGAAACCTCGAGAAAGAATCTCGAGGCTTTTCGCTCGGGTCACTATATCACGATGACTGACACCAATGATCCGAAGTGGTAAACAGAGAACCATTTGTGGATGTGCCAAAATTCACATTAATTTGAAGAAATTCACATTGATTGACTAACATAGAACAAGCGGTGCTCTGATTGGTCTGAAATGTTGCTTCGTTAATTCCGTCAGCAAACAGTTTTGAATTGTTTTGCCGGCCGGACAAGTTTCACCTTCCGACTCACGCAAGCTGTATCTTTATATTGTTTAAGTTGCACGAGATAGACAGAAAACTGAAAAGCAACCCCTGAAGTCGGTTGTGCTTGTGAAAGTTACCGCAAAAAGTTAGTGTACAGTTGCTGTTGTACCTTGCTTTTTCCTTTAAATGACCGTGAATCAAAGCCTATTCCCGCACCACTTTTCTGACTGCCTTTCCTAGTCGCGGCCGATTGAGCTGCGGAACCTTTGCCTTTACTGCTAGCATCAGGCTTTTTGTACCTTTACAAAATAACGAGGAAAAAAAAAACAAAGCTGACAAACAATATTGTGTTTATAATAGTGCTACACTCTTCTTTTTACGAGAACGCCGTTTTTCCGGCCCAGGCTGAATATTCTTATTTTTCTACCGATTTTAGGCTGAAAGGTTTAATGTTTTTATTGATTTTGAAACTATTATAATGTAGCCTCTGACTTTTCCGTTTTAGAATGTCCGGGGTATAAATTGCAGTTAGTTGCAATGTCACGTTGTTTTTCTCTTTGGTGGCTAGTTTTGCCGTTAAGAGAAAGAAATAATTTCACGGTTAAATTAAAAACATACAATTGTATTGTATTAATTAACGGATTTTCAACACACAAAATTATATCAATTTCAACCTTGGGCTTATCCTTATGATATTCTTAAGATTTTGCAAATTTTAGCCTCGCTATTCTTACAAAATATATTCTTATTAAAGAAAAAAAGATTGTATAAAGATACAGTAAAACCATGATGTCTCGAGCCCTAACTTCCTAATTTCAACCAAGCTTCCCTTCAGTAGAAGACCGTCATTGTACCTTCAAAGTTTCCGATAAACCGAACCTATTAGCTTTTTCAAGGTGGTTTAAAAAAGGGATTCCACCGTATCAGTTTTTTTTTTGTATTTCTTGGTTTTAGTCTACTGAGTTTAGCTACACCCCACAATCACAATTTTACACAAGTGAATATGAACTTAATGTAACAAGCGATTTGATACTTATGTGGTCAAATTTGCAGATAACACCGAGTTTCATGACTTCTTCATAATTAAAGACTGAAGAAGATTGTCATTTTTGATTTATTTACTACAAATCTGCGAAATTGTGAGCCTTTGTGTATTAGCCGCCCTCGTGAGCAGTATACAGTTATATCCTAAGAAAAACTTCTTTAATTTGCGAATACGCTGTCAAATAAAACTGTAAACGAAACCAAAATGAGTTAACATTGTGTTTCTAGGGAAGCTTTAGCAGAAAAACTGACAGAACATTCGCTCTACTCTATTTGCGAGATTAATTCAAATACCTTCTCCATCGCATGCAAGATGAAACCAGGACATGCACGACACGGGCGGCCCAGACGAACTTCTCTAAAGCCTGTGAAAGACAAAAACAGAAAATTATGTACACGGTGATAATAGTTCTATCCGAAGGCAATTTTGTTTTATGCTCAAAGGTTGTTCTTGTACCGGCTTTCATACTGCATGGATAGCACGATTCTAAATATTCCAAAATTGTTTTCGTCACTTTACAAGGCTAACTGTTATGAACTCAGCAAAAATGAAAATAAAAATTGAATTCGTGTAACTTTTCTAACCGGCGTACCTTTTTCTTCCTTCCCATATTTGAAAATGCAAATTTTGAGGTTCTTTTGCTTTAAAAGATTTAAAAGTATGCTCAAGTCATTCTAGCCAAACATCATGAAGTCGAACTTCTGAGACAACGGTAAATATTATGATAGGAACGAATGTTCCGTAGTTATTTATCCAGCTGTGTGCCACAAATGTTTTTCAGCGGGTCTGTGTGATGTTTATGCATGGAAGAGGTACAATTGTGGTTGTGAATAAAGGAAATTAAAAACGTTGTAGGTTGTCTTTTGTGATATCGGTAGGTATTAACAAGCATTGATGAAAGCTGTGAACTAATCTACCCCACGAAACATGACCGGAACTTGTTATTATGTTTACCAAAAAGAATAAAAAACATGGATTTTCGTGTAAAATTAACCAAATAATGAAGTCACCGCTATTTGCTCTCGATTTAATGATTTTTTTCTTTGATAGAAGCGCATAATATCAGATGTTTGAAAAATGAACTTTACAAAACCAAAGTGGATTGCTTAAAAATGAGAACAACGATAGACGAGGGCAATGTCCATTGTTAGAGTCGTGATTAACCATAAAAGGTGGTTTAAGTCTCTGAGTACCATACACGCAATTTCTCAATCTCGATCCCGGAGCCTTTCTGCGCATGAGTCAAAAGAGTACGTAAGTAAGCACTTTAAGTAAGCACTGGGGTCGAGAATCGCCATTTTCTCCGATTCAGTAAGTTCCAAACTGCGACTGCGCAGTCATCAGTTTGCGAGAAGTAAGCAAAGAAACCCCTGAAGTTACTAAGGTTAAGAAACAGAAGATAAAACAAGAGAAGCGTCAGAAAAAGAAGAAGAAGAAGAAGAACAAGAAGAATAACAAGAAGAAGAAGAAGAACAAAACAACAACAATGCAACAAAAACTAGAAATACGTGTATCATAACAATAATCATAATTTGTAATAATAATAATAATAATAATAATAATAATAATAATAATAATAATAATAATAATAATAATAGTAACAAAAACAACAACAACAAACTACTGCTGCTAGTACTACTAATACTGCTGCTGCTGCCACCACCTGTTACAATGTTAGCGTGCGCGTTCGTAAAACCTGAAGCGACGTTGCTGCCGGGTAGGCGGTTAACAAAGTATAAAAGTAAACTTGGGTGCTTAGTCTCGCAGTGATTGAAATTAAACGTTTATTGTAAGTCACTCACGATTATTCAATATTTCTAATTGGGTATTAATAACAGAAGTTCTTTAAAGACTTTATCGCTCCGAAAGCATAAGTAACTTACCGATAACTGAGAGTAGGTCCTTTCCTGTAGAAAAAAAAAAGTAAAAGATTAAACTGATTCGGAGGGTGCCGCATGCAAGAAGGTAGAGTAGCCGAGAGGTGACAGCTCCTATACTTAGAATGGAACCTTGAGTTCAAGTTTTACCATGACCGCTGACTGGAATTGTTCACGGTAGCCTTGACAACTGGGTCACACTTGTTAAATAGCCAACTGGTTTGACCCAGGCCATGTAGTTGTGATTCTTATATTTTTCAAGTTTCTTTCAACTATTTGTTTCTGTCCTTATCTGTGGCCGCCATAATGTAGACTGATGGGTTACTAGTGATTGTGTTAGCTCTGTAGAATCAATTTTATTTCATATGTGATTCAGGCTTCTAACATGTTCTAAAGCATGTAGAAACTGAAAACCACTTGAGACACTTCTGACGTGTTCCGAGCCGAAAAACAACCTATCTCATTTTAAAAGAATTTGCACCTCGGACTCAATGTTCTATTAATTTCAAAGAAATTAAATTAAATTAAAAAAAAAAAAGAATAGTCGGGTCACACTTTCATCCTACCCAGAGAAGCGAAAATAATTATTATTAGTTTAAAAAAAACAACATGGCCTTCATTAGGCCAACTGATTTAAAAGAGGACTTGTTGATTTTGGGGATCAAATAATCGCTTTCCGTAATTAAATCACAATTATTTTAAAATGTTCATGTTTAATAAGTAAGAGTTTCAGTCGTCCAGTTTACGTTGTCATTCAGGATATTGATAATCGAATAAAGCTTTGGCGTTTAGTAGAACCACCCTGTATGGGCAATTATAGGGAAAAGTCGATAGAAAAAGACTGAGTTGGGGCCGCAAGTATATATGATCTCGACAAAAAAAGCTGAAATCAAGATATCCAGGAACGTGCTAAATTACTTTACTGTACAACAGATTGTACAACGCGTTTCCACTTGAGAGAGCGGAGAGCCCTGACCCGATACAATCAGCACGTGTAAAGTCAAACGCCTGCATTAAAGTTGAATATTTACTTGTCCAAGACTGAAGAAACCACTCACCTCAATGCTATCGAGTCTTTGATTGGTTTTCTTTACGAGAGCTGTGACAAGTAATGGCGCCTCTACTGCGCTTTGGCTTTCTCGTCGAAATTTCTGGAGCTCTTGAACTCGCCTCTGTATTTCAGCTGAAGTTTTCCGAGACTCCGCGCTTGGTTGGATAGTAGCAATTTTATCTTTGCGATCTTTGCGGGGTAAAATTGGCTTCGGTAGTTTGGGAATTTTCTGATCTTCGTTGTCAAAGTTTATATCAATGTTAATGATGGACTTGTCGTAAGCCATTCCAGCCTTTGACTTGAAGATCAAGTTGGTGATCCTGTGTAAAAAGTCGTAAGATGTAGAGTCCATTATTTGCGCGAAAGGAGGAATAGAAGCTTTTCTGATTAAGTCTTCCATTAAGGATCGTGAGTAGATAGTCCTGAACTTTGGATGAAAAGCAACGTCACGACCTTAGATCTCTTGTCGCTTTTTCTGTCAGTCAGGATTTATATTTCGAAGATTGATATGTCCTTATAAAATACCCCTCTAACTCTTGGTCAAACAAACATAAGTATCAAACTACAAGTTTGGGAACAAATGATTTTACAATTACTGAGTAATTTTAATCTTTCACTTCAACTACGTTCTATCTCTCTTTGAAATAAGGAAAAAAATAAAAATATATTTGTCACTGTCTTGTGTGACTGAACTCACCTTTTAAGCCCCAAATCCTGACCGCTTCCATAGCAACCTACAGATACGTTTTCACTTCCACAAGAACTCTCTGTATTGCCAAAAAATCTTTATAACTTTTGCTTCTGATTGCTACCGTATGATGCCGATATTCCGTTCTCTATTTTCCGCCTTCCCCACCACTTAGCCGTTCATCTTAGCAACAAACGAAAACAGTCAACTTACGTAACAGGAATTCGAGAGCTATAATGGAAATAATTTTCGTGGTATTTGCTTGAGTGAATAAGTTTGATAAGAGGTCAATGGATCACTTCGCGAGTGAGTAAACACAAAGCTAAAGTGTGTTGACTGTTCAATTTACGTTGTGCAAGAATAATAATTATCAGAAAAACACTTTACCAGACAAGAAAGATAACACAGAACAAAAACTTTTGAATCATAATGATATCGTCTGCTGTTTTGCCCTCTGGGGAAACGGCGTGTTTTTCAAAAACAAAGCAATTACCCTGGTGTAAAACACTTCTTGTTTTTTTGTGATTTCGCGGCTTGCCGATAAAAGAATCCCGCGGAATTATGTACCAGACTCAATTATTGCTTTTCCATGGGGAGAAAAATGGATTAATTAAAGTAACATAATTCAATGATGAATCCTTAGATGATTTTACTCGAAATGACACTGTACTTTAGCCTTAAAAGTTGAGACTTTGCCGTATAACGTTAAGCTTTCTTGAGTACAATACTTTTATGTGAAGCTAGAGTTGCTCATTTGTGTTGATCTTAACGTTGAAAGATAGCGCGTTGTTTACTTAACATGTTTACTCTCGAGTTTATAAGTTCGCCCACGCGTGACGTACTCGCTTCGAGGCTCTCGCGCCAATAGTCTAGGGCCCTTACATGGGTTGGAAAAGGCGAGCGCCTTGATAAATTCTACGCGAGTTTTAGAAGAGAAAATCTTCAGATTCAAAGGTGATTTGAAAACAAAACAAAACAAAAAACATCATTTTCAATTTGCGACGTGAGCATCGGAGGAAGACAAAACTTGCAATAATTGGTTTCAGTCTAGCATTACTCTATGGGACTGAAGGGTAAAACTCGAGGTGCTTTTTCTTTATTTTCTATTATTTAATCCCAAAAACCTTGAGCTGCTTAAAACACTCCGGGCTCTTTAATTTGGCTTACTCCGATCACTCATTATTGTGTCTTTCTTAATTTGTCGGGTATTTATTAAAAATCTTTTATTAATGGCTTTTGTAGATGTATTTGAGCTCGAATAAGCAAGAGATGGTGGACCAAAAATGCCCGGGGGGGGAACTCCCATATGAAAGGGGTGGGGATGCTCGTCGGAGCTTTTAAATTAAACCCCTAATGGAGACCGATCTGGGCGTGGCCCCAATTTTTTTTACCCAAAAAAGCGATCATTTTAAACTTTGATTACATGAATAGAACAAAGAAAACGAATTGAAAATATATAATTTCTTAATATTTCTTCGAGTGCAACCCTAAAAGAGACCATTACGGCTAAATATAATTGTGTTTTGCACAGAACACCCTAAGTGAGACCAAAATCTGAAATTTACACCCCTAAGCGAGACGACGAGCATCCCCGCCCCTTTCATATAACAGTTCCCCCCGGGCAAAAATGACAGTGCTACCGGTTGCAATGGGAAGCAGCAAATAGGGCAGCATATCCGTGGTACCTGGACATCTCTTTCCAAGAGCGATTTGCGCGTGTTCCTGAACGCTCTCGCGCCTTTCCGGCTTTCCGCTGATTGTACATCAAGAGCCATAATGGGTCCCATTATTACTATACAATGCAAAACCTTTATTTTAACATAAAAAGGAAAAAAGCTGAGGTACCCCGAGGGGTCGTCGAAGTGTGGCTTAAGTTTGACAAGATGCAGTAATATTGTAACCTAAAACTCTCTCTTTAGAGCATGAATTGAACGGTGATTTCCCTTCTAAAAAAATGTTCACTGACACCTTTTCTGTTTCTGAACCTTCTGGTAAACTTTGTAAACTTCGCTCAATAATACCGTAACTCCAATCACTCTACGTCCTAGCTAAAATATACCGGGGTCAGTGTACCAAGACCTTCCAACGAAGCCAAATGCATTATCTCCGCTAACAGAAGAACCAATTCATTAACTAGGCATGCGCAAATAATCACTGCCCCTCCTGAACCATAACGATGAGAATCAACAAATAACACGGGGCCGTCTTTCTCGAATAGAAATACCCCTGTTCTATAATCTTTGATGAATATTACAGCTTGTCGTCGTTCGTCAAGTCTCCGTAATCTTTCAAGCTGAAAAAGAACCGTAGCCGTCTCCGTTTCCGATATGAAGCTTACTGGCAGCGAGCTGCCGAGGTTTTTAATCTGCAACGCACTTCCAAACTCTTCTGATACATCTTCCACTGATAGATAAATCACGCTTTGCCGTTTAGAGTTTACAAGCTTGTCGTATAATCGGTTCCCTTCGGCAATACAGCTGCTAAGTAAATTAATCCAATCCTCGCTCAGGTTTCCTGTCTGTAGAGATTCTCTGTCACGTGACTCCTCTCCAGTCGGTCGCTTCCAAGACTCGGTTGCTCGCGCTTTGCACTCATCCCCAGTCCGTTGCTCGAGTTTTCTTGATAAGCCGATGGCAGGTACTGTAATATCACTACAACAAAACGCCCGCGCAATCAATACAGCGATTATAGTGCAGGCGTTGCTTCCATTTCTCCCGCCGTAGCAAGACTGAGAAATCTCTCTTGGAAAATGGTAAAGAATCATAGAAGTCTCTCTTATTGTCTTGCATTTAACTGCCAATTCGTCCGCGTGCGGAATATGTGAAGCGTGAAAATCTTCTTTCTCGCCTTGAAAGTCAGATTTCAGCATCTTACAAGCCACCGAAAAATCAATTTCACTGATATAAAAATCCCTCTTCTTGGAGACGTCTTTATGGCTTCTGTCGTGGTATTTCTCGTCGGCGGGAGGAGAATTCTGATTTCTATAATTTTTTCCCTGCGCCATACTAGAATACTGCGTTTGACTATGCATGGTGATTGAGGCCTTTGCCATTATGGCGTAGAGCATCAAGCAAATGTAAAGCAAAATAGGAAGGAAACACATTACCATGGTTACTATTTGAGCTGGTTTCCAATGAAACTTGAGCCCAGTAAGTACGCGCACGGGATGGTCACTCCTTGAAAACTGGTTAATAACCGGTCCGTACCAGTTTGTCATAGTTGTTAGCATATACAAAGACGCAGTAAACATTAGAAAGTGAAATGCAGGATAGCTGTATTGTGACTCCGCATCGTTCTTCGTTTGACAATTTGTTCCTTGATGCGTTTCATTTGTAAAATTTACCCCTCTCAGAAGTCCAAACGTAAAAGAACTTTCTTTATTTCGTAAGCACTCATAGAACAGTACCGTGTGCGTAGTTAAGGTAGCTACAATAATTCGCCAGTTTACGCCAATTGGAAGATTCTTTGCGGAGAGCAGGGACGCTTCAAAGTTACATCCGGGATTGTCTTGCGCCGAAAGCGCAATAACCATGGGCAAAACCGAGAGGAAAGTCACTACTGCGCATGGCAAGAAAACAACCGCTGGATGAAGGTTTGGTCTAATTCGTGGATGCAAAGAGATGGCAAAACCGACGAAACATGCTCCCAAGGTTAGCGCCATAAAAACGTCGTTCCACGTACAGTCTTGTCTTGCTGTAGTGACAACTATGTACCCGATAAGACTAAAACTAACGACAAATAACTCGAAAGACTTCAGTATAATCATAACTTTGATAACGCTGGGAGATATTTTACATCTGTGCTTGTTTTGTTCCTTCATTGTTGTTGCTAGTGTCACGGAAGCCTCTGCGAGGTCAACGGCCAAACAAAACTGGAAGACGAGGAATATAGAGGCGCCAAACAGTGCAATGTAGGAAGAATAAACAATAAAATTATTTTGTTGGGGTATGAAGAAACTCGCTGTAGCAAAACCCGTGAAGACCATTAGCTTGAATATCCAACAACGGTTGTGCAAGAGCTCGCGAAATTCTTGGACATTTGGAAGCAAAGAGCATGTTAAGAAGAAATGATACAATGCACTAGCCAGAAATACGCGATGAACTATTTCGAAGCTTACAACTTCGTGGCATGCCCTTTTGTTAAAAACAATGTGGCACTTAAACATTCCCTTGATAAACGTGGTGTCCATTAGTTTGTCCTTAATACCAGGTGCTAAGGGAAGTAATATTCCAATCGTCCATAAAAGAAAACAACACTCGTAAATAATTCGAGATCGCTTGGACATCCTATAAGGCACTCACGGGGTTTTGCGAGCGAGAGCGCCGCGTAACGTTCAACGTTTGAATCGTGTCCGTGAATCTCTGCGTGATCTCACGACATTTCAGATATGGCGTAACCATATTTGATAGCTTCACGGGGGACAAAGTCTTGACAGAATTAATCTGCCACAACGTATTTATTCAAGTGACACAAAACCTGCTATACGATCGTCGTTGAATCAAAAATCGTTTTAGCTTTCTGGTAGACACATCATGATTTTGGTCGTATGGCAGTTGTCTTTTCAAGCGGCACGCAATCGAATAATTATTTTAGCCTCACAAAGAATTTTTTGTATATAAGGGATTTACAATGGAAACGAAATTTTCTATTTTTTCTTTTAAGTATGTTATTCCTACATGAAATGTTGGGTGTATTAAACGCAAATCTTCTCAGTAGCAGGTGTTAGGATAGAAACGACCCGCTATAGACAGGTATTTTACGCCCGTAAACTTAGACTACAATTGATCTGTCATTTATAACATTAACCGTTTATTCTCCAGACTCACTTTTAAGTCAATTTTCAGTCTTTTCTAAATTGACTCAAGTCACGCGCAAATTCAGCAAACGCATTACTACTGAAATCGTATAAAGACATGGGCGACGGAAAACAATGCGAAATTTAACAGTTTTGTGATGAAGCGAACAACAAACGAACGACAAACACTTGTTTTTCGAATATGAATGGTACTAGAGCGGCGGGGCAGGAATTCGAATAGGTGATCCTTTCCTCTTCCTACACTTTTCTGTAGTTACTTTTCTTCAGCGCAAAAGACATTTCACGATTCTCCCCCATTGCATAAGCATGTTTTTGAAGCCTAGTATTGGCCTCAAATTCGAATTAAGACATCTAATTTTGAGCAGCGGGGTAGAGCTACACTTTGGTGATCATGGTACTACTTTTTACATGTATTTCTAATTCTAAGTAAGTTCTGCGCAGATTTCACGCATGTTTAGCGTTGCTTCGCCATATAAATACTCATTGGTAAAAAGCGAGTTCATAGCATTATAAAATAACGTACAAAGCACTACGGCCTCAGTCTTTAAAGTCAAGCCACGTTGCAGCGCGGTATCTCCTTATTTTTGTTTCCCCTCAAGCCTGTTGTCTTTGTTTTTTCTGGTTGAATCATTGGGGATAAGCCAGAATCAACAATAAGCACAACTGTCGTCATCGTAAACCGAGCGGATCGTCGGCTGCTAATCGGTAACACTTCGGTCACTCGTGGTGTATTATGGACAACTTCTTCCTTTCTCACAGCCTCATGGTGTCTGGTTCTTTCGAAGAGTGCGCACTCCACACGATTTTTACTATGCCGGCGACTCTCTTCATTTTCTTCACCGCTTGTCGGCTGGCAAGAAGTATTTTGGTGTTGACATGTGGTAATGATGCTGCCAGGCGGAGTAATGACCTTTGTAGAAAGACCCAAACCTGAGGAACAAGATAAAAAAGAAATCAGAAATATATAGATAAAAAGAATCACTGTATTGCAAAAATTGAACTCATGATATGCTACCGATTAAAATAATTTTAAATTTCATTCCAGTCCGTTCGGTCAAGATCCATAGTACACGGGGTATAGAAGTTTGTGGTTTAGAGATTCACTCTGATAAAGCTCTACTTTGTCTATGGTGCAGAATGGTTGTCCCCCACACTATGGAAGCCTCTTTTCGTAGGAAACCCATAACCAACGAAAACTTTAGAGGGCTTAAGCAAAAACGTCTCCTTGCCGCAGCAACGCACGTCAACCCGGCGGAAGAGGATTTTTTTTTTGCATCCTTGAACAGAAGTGGTGCCCAAATATTAGACAGTTTAAGTTTCGCGTATACGGCAAACGGCAAACGTCAGATTCTAGTTGAGAATTTCTCAAAATAGAAAATGAGAAGATAAAAACAGCTCAAAACAGTTCTTATGGATAAAAAATTGCGTGAAACTACTAGTTTACGTGTAGAAATAATGAACAGTAAACGACAAGTAAAGTGGAAACTTGGTAACGTGGTACAAATTCACGCTTGCCGTTGGACGTCTCTACAAATCGTCTCTTCAAGACTAAAGACACTAAGCACTTCAAATTTGGAAGCGTCATGGCATGATAGAGGGGAAAAGGGTTCATTTCCCGGGTTGATGTGCGTCGCTAAAAAACACTTTTCCTTAAGCTCCCTTTTGTAGTTTTTGTCACCTGCTGGAAAATCTAACGTCGTTGGGGACATCTTTAGAACTTGTAGTGAGAACGTCGTTATCCCGGTATGGTTTGCCTGGGAGAGGGATACGAAACTTGGCCATTTGAACCTCGGTGTCACTAAGTCCCCCATGGGAGATTCGTGCATATCCTAGACGTATAAGCCCGCGGTACATGATGTATTCACACCAGCGGTCAGAGTCCGTTTCGTCAATGTCCTAGAAATGTGAACAACACAAACCAAATCAACAAATGAATAAGATGGGTCAAACTTGGTGACATAGCTGAACGAGTCAAGCGAAATTTTTCTACCGTAAAGGGGTTAGTCTCCTTCGCAGTCTCTCGGACAGGAGTCACGCAGGAGACTATAAAAGGGTGGACTTAGTCCCAATTTCTATAGAAACGTAGACATCCGACCCAGATAACAACTACAAAAAAAAGTTAAACTTCAATCCATAGCATGCAATCTTTCGAGAATTTTTCTGACTGAGAGAACACTGTGTGTGCTGGCGAAGAATTCACTATCCCTAGGGATTTCCTATTTTCTCAGTTCGTAGTTGGTATATTGTTCCGTATATTTGTACGTCGTTATTTCCATTAAAAAAATCTCTTGGGATTGAAAATGTACTATAACCTCTGTGAACTGTAAAGGACCCCAACAAATCATCTTCAATCATTTGACGACGTAGTAGAACTGCCTTATAACACAGTGCATAAAAGAAAGAGCAAAATGAGTTCATATTTACCTTGGTTCGACCTTTCTCTATCAGTGTGCGGTAATCTCGACTCTTCGGAGATGACGTCACATATCCCAGAAATACCACAGGGTTAGGACTACAATGACCAAAAGTGTCAACATTATAAAAAGCGATATTTAACAACTTTCTTGGGGTTATGTGGAACGTACGTCTTTAAGATTTGAGATTCCATTTGAACTTGGGCATCAATGAAATTAAGAAGAATGGAAAAGCAAAAAGGAATGTCAGTCGTTTGGCCTACAAGTTGTTTCGCCTACATTGAGGTCGACTAGCCTAGATGATTATAATTGCTTCATAGACGTTTTATAGATTTTATAATTGTCGCTAAAGAAAAATTATAAAATGCGACCGGATTTGAGAGGGATTTTCTGATTTATTTTGCCACACAAATGAACAAGCTCATACCTCTCGTCCATAATCCTGGCTAGTTCTTGAGCCTGAAGCTTACGATCCAAGTTATCGCTGTAGCATCGTACATGAAACGAAAAATGACTTAAAGAATAAATTTAACCAGAAATAGCTGATACTAAAAGTAACTCTTCCAAGCTGCGGCTAGTTAACCCTTTAGGCCCAACTGATCCACATACAAATTCTCTAAACTGCTTTCCATACATTTCTTCAAAGAATAAATTGAGAGAATTTGCTTAAAGATCAAAGCATTTTCCCGTACGTGATCATTTTATTCATTCCCAGCAATGGACTAACAACCCACCCAGGAGGGAGTGGAAATGCCCCTAGGTATTTCTACAGATATATATCCATATATCCTGTGTGGCAGGCCCATAAAAAGGAGGGGGAGGGGGAGGGGGAGAGGAGAAAAAAGTGAAAGGGAAAAAGGAATATCTCTCCCTTTTCTCTACCTCCTCTCTTCCTTTCCAGTCCTGCCACGCAGGCCAACAATCCACGCTAGTTCAAAGACCAACCTCATTCCCAGGTTCTCTCTCACTCCGTAGGGATGGGTAGGAGAGAAGCCTAGGACTGAGGTTGGTTCAAAGACTTAATTTGTTAACTCAATGGATATATATTTGCTCACCGATCATTCCCCATGTGAACAACGACAAAGTCGACCAGGTCACCAGTGATGTTGATTGTCGCACTTAAGGCTGGAGCTAGTTCTCCTATTACATGAATAAGAGAATACGCAAAAAACATTATTAATTTTTTGTAACAGTATACAATCCACATAATAATCTCTTACAGGGATCATTTAGCCAGTTGCAAAATGGGAGATACAGCCAAGCATAAAGCACAAGGTTATGAATAAAGTTGCAACCTATCTCAGGTGAAGAAGAAAGTTATGTCTTGTGCTATTTGGTTGGTTGTGAGCCAGATTGTTGTTGATAGTTTAATAAAATGTTAGTAAATCAGAAATTATAATTACACTGCCTTGACTTATCTTACCTTCGGGAGATGGAAGTAAATGATGATGGGACTTTACTATTGGGTATTTGGACAGCAAAGTGGCCCTACAAAAAAATAAAGATATATAAATAACCACTCGGGCAGTGACTTTGATTTTTACTACATAATTAGCATTTGATGATCTTATTTGGAGTATTCAGCACTGGCTGACAAGATTAAGCATGAGTTGCTGTAAAAATCCTGGGTTTCAAACACAAGTACATTAAGTACTGGATAACAAGTGTTTTCAAACAAAAAGACATATTGTGCAACCCGTGTCCAACAAAACAACCTGGCAGTAGATCATCTCTATAGAGTTCAGGAAAATGACAAAGCTGTTTTAGGGCATTTAATTTCTAAGAATTATTGAAGAGATAACAGCAAAAAAGGGCCAGGTGACTTTGGATCAACCTCTAGAATTCGACATGAGACCAGATGTCACTTCCTTTAGGTCTTTTTCAACACCATCCCCCCCCCCACCCACTTGTATGAGCTGATCGTTTTTGTAATGTTCAAATTTGCGAGTTTACAGCCACAGTTAGAGTAATGTTATTACTGAGTGGTAACATATAGTCTGATTTATGAGATTTAGGCAGCATCGGACACTTAGCAATTTATAGGATATGAATATTCACTCCTCAGCATTTTGCTTTGAGAGGGAAAACTAGTTATCAATTTTAAGGTTACAGGTTTCAGTCGGAACCTTACCCCCATGTATGATCTCTGGTAGAGGGCCCAAAATCAGAGTACACTCCAAGTCTTTCCTCAAACCATGTTGCTAGATCATGATTCCCAAGATAAGGCTTAGAACAGTCACTTTCTAGAAAACCAACCACATCAGCACCTAAGAAAAATATAAAAGGGCAGGTCAGTGAGTGCAACCAACCGCATGAGGGTGGTTGTGCGTGTTGGTGGATAGGCAGCTGAAGTGTCTAGTAGGGGGGATGGGAGAGGAGTAATGGTTATTTGGGGTCTGTGTAGACTGGGAGCAGATGGGGGGCGGGGTGAGCAAGTTAACCTGCATTGCAAGGGCTCCAATGTGAGCAGCGCCCAAAAGTTGTGGTGAGAGCAGAAAAACTGGTAACAGGGGGGAGGAGAGGTAAAGGAAAGGTGCACATCAAGGGGTTTGTCTGCAAGAATTCTCTTTCCAACCCTCCCTCCCTTTGCACTAAATTTTGCATGCCAACATTTACACTCTGTTTGATGGACAGAGGTGCTTGCTACAAAGGCAAGTGAAGAGTAAGTGCTATAATTGAAATTGAAGCAGAAAAAAAATAAAAAAACAGGAATATGTGCTGAAAGAGGAAGACAAACACTAAAAGAAATCTGAGTTAGGACTCCAGTCCATAAAGCCTTGACATTTTTTTAAACTTTTCACTAAGAGAAAACATACCAGTGTCATTTATCATCTGTGCAGCTCTCTCAAAACTGGGCCAGCCAACATTATCATAAGCAAAATGGACTGTCCAAATCATGGCAGAAAACTTTTTCTGCTCCTGTTAAGACAACAAAGAAGTGCAGCATCATTATCAATATGCTACTTTATTACCACAAACAGCTCTCTCTTATACATGACATGGTCCCTTTACTTTGACTCTCTCAAAACCTTATTCTTTGATGGTAATTACTAACCTCTGGAGCGGGTGTGAGGTACTCATGTCTTTGATACCGCATTCCCATAAGAACAGACGATGCAATCAAGAGACAAAATAGGACTACAAAGGAATATTACAAAGACAATTGAATTAATCATTAGTCCAGGGAAGCTTTCTTGACTTGATTACACAAAAAATGGCACTCAAATGAAATCAAATCTGGTTACACGCTTGAAAAAATATTCTCAAGTGGCACTCAATAAGAATAATCACCAAAGCGCAAATAATACCAGTTTTACCTGGAATTACATGAGTCTTGAAAAACCAAAATCGATCTCCATGCTCCTCAAGAAAAGCTACATTATTGAACTTGACTGCAACGGCTTTTTTCTTTGGAGAAGGCTTTCCATCAGAACTTTTCTGATCACTGCTGACTTTCTCTTCTTTCTTCATTTTACCGTATGCTTCCTTAACATCCGGTGTTGACGCAGTCCTTAAGGCGAGCCCTTATTTTCAGAACAACAACAAAAATACCAAAATGTTAACGTTACTGTTCAATGTACAATCATGTACACAAATGACAAATTAGTTTAGCAGCCAAAAAATGTCCTTCTAGTGGAATTAAGTATCTTGAGCCCTGCATTCCTTAACAATCTTGATGACATTTTGGATCCAGAAAGCAAGAATCGGATTGCTGCAGTGCTTTAATAATTTTCAAATGAGGTTGATTTGAGAATTTCAAAGATTTGAGAATTTCAAAGCTGCAGACACAAAACTGGATTGGTCTACAAGCTTGAACTACATTGCAATGTGTAACATTCTGATTTATAAATGATAATGCAGCCACTACAGGCCTGAAAAGTTATTGAGTCTTTTGAGAATCGAGTCCCTAGACACATGAGGTTATAAAACCAGGGGGTTTAAAGAAAATCAACTTACCAGGTTATCATTATTTTGGGCAGGTCATAACTAGGTGTATGGTAGCCAGAGAGAAACAAACAGCCGATATTTGCGACGCCACCCTTGGCTTCCCTGCAAAATGATGTCTTGGGACATGTGAAGAAATTCGATACTGAAATGTCCCTACCCAGATCTGGGTAGTGCTTCTGATTGGTTGAAGTAAATGTCGCATGCAGAACAACCGATGAGAAGCACTACCCAGATCTGGGTAGTGACTGGTAATCGGTATGCAAGTTCTGTGCTCGTTCCTCAGGTGTCATTTCGCTGGGGAAACCAGTGGTGTTGATGTGAAATGTGGGCTGTTTTCTCAGGCTACAATGGTGCAGGGCACCAGCATTAGGTGCAATTTGACACCCTTATCTGTTGGCTAAAAATGACGAAAAACTGTAGCAAATTACCAAATTACAAACACAAATCACTTTTGACCTACCAATTAATACCATGGTGATTCCTAGCAATACATGTGTCCTTTCTCTTGTGTATTCTCCTCCCGGAACAAAATTGTAAGCCACTACCCACACTGATCCCAGTGTAAGAACTATGTACACCACATTAGCCAAAGTTAGTGTCCGTGCGACAGGACGGCAAAACAGTCTGTCAATCATAGCTGGCCAAACTGACATGGTGTAGACACCAAGAATGAGTCCGCCGGCAAATGACCAATGACGGGGAGCAAAGTATAACACGGCAGCACCAGCTGAGCCGATTAACCACCACAACAAATTACTAGTCCAGTGTTGACGAGATAGGAGAACTCCGACTCCTAGAGCAATGACTACAGCGGCTCTGACACAATTGTAAGAAAAGAAATTTAAAAAGGTAGTTTTAATGCATAGCATGCCCATGTTAGTACAACAAAAAACTACCATCATATTTGTGCATGAATTGGTCATATTAATTTATCTTCTGAAATACCCTGTACATCAAATCTATTACCTTTTGTTAGTAAACTGAGAATGGGAAAATAAAATAAGATCATGACTTTGTATGTATTCCACATCTTACATTGCTCCAGGTTCATTTTTTTAAAGTCATTATTAGAAATCTAGAATTACACAATAGTCGCCAGACATTATTAAACTATTAATGTGAAGATCAACAAAGTAGGTCTTGTCCAAGATGTGCCGTAAGTGACTATAAAATAATGATGAATAATTGGGATCAACATAGACCATGAAAGGTGCCAGTATCCAAGTTTGTGCCTTAGTGAGGAGTTAATTTTCATCAAGATGTTCTACATACTATTTGCACATCTTAAAGTTCTGGCTTGGCAATACAATCCTTTGAGAAAATAACGGAAATAATTAAACAGAAAAATTCCCCTAGCCAACCCTACCCCCACCCCCAGTTCCCAGTTTATAAGAATATAGAAATTATTCTCCTCTGATTAAATGTTGGAAGCAAATTTTAACATAATATGGTACCTACCCCCATGGATTAGGCTTGGGACCTGTATCTGGATACCCTGATACAGCCCAGCGACAAACAAGTGACACTTCACCAAACACACCATGGGTAAGGAACATCAAAGCACCAAAACCTAATGCCACTAACAGCCACCCAGAACCTGACACCCTTGAGTCTTGGGGCTCAGTTGGTGACTTTGATGGAGGACCTGACTGAGAGATGGACATCATATAACCAGTATACACTCTGTCCATTGTTGCAATAACAGCAATAAGAAGAATGACCCTGTTACTTGTGACATCCGACCAGATTGGATTGACGGTGATGTATGAAATGCGCAGTGTCAGCAACAGAAAGAAGCCCAAGACTAATCCCCAGAAGGACAAAACCCTGAAATTTAAATTGGACCATAGAAATAGTTATACATTGTTTTTGGAAAAATGGGTTATTGATTTAGCACAAATAATAAACAAGGTCAAGGTAAGTGTTATCAGCCAAGCTAAAGGTTGATGCTGATAACACTTACCGAGATATCACAAAAACCAAATCTAAATTTGTTTTATGATACATTGCATTTGTAATTTTGTCCAACCAGAACCTTCATTAAGCGTGCCACCTTTAATTACCTCTCCTTAGGATCTTTGTTCCAGATCATTCCACAAAACCAAAGCATTGCCGTTCCACAGCCAAATGCTAACATTATTAATCTGATGAGAGTTGTGGGAGCTTGGAAAGAAGCAACACCAACTAAAGACAGAACTCGCCAAAATGCTAAGCCATGTATGGTCCCTGAAAACTGCAGAAGAGCACTAAACCCAGTGAATATTGGTGATAGAACTGTAACCACAAATGCCTCATAACCAGAGATTTCCAACTCATTCAGTGGATAGAACCAAATCATTGGAGCAATTCCATGAATCAGAGACCACCATGTGTATCCTATTAACACATTAAATGAAAAAAATCAAATTATTGGATTTAAAAAATGGAATCTGATCTAAAGATAAAATCAAACCACAATTGACGAAGCCATGTTTTCAGCCATGTCTTCAGAACAGATCTAAAAACATACCTATTCACTTGCTAAGCTTGATGGTAACAATGGTCAAACACTAACATTCTATAGTTATTTATCGTTCATTATCCCGATTTCAAGGAAAATATTCCTAACCTAGAATCATTTCTGCCCCTAGCTCCCGAATGGTGTATGTGAATTCGATCACTTCTTCGGCGATTTCTGCAGTCTCCTCGTCAACAAATTCATCTTCCGAACCTTCAGGAATAACAGTCTCGTACTCTTCCACCTCTTCCCAAGGATCTGTAGCTCCCTCTACGAGGCTTTGAGCCCTGTGACGGAGCTCTTTTCGCCGTCTTCGAAGGCTTTTTTGCGGAGAACTTTTCACGGGTGCAGCCTCCTCCGCCATGTTGGAGGACAGATTGCGGCCTGGGCCAGAGGATGGGCCAGCGATATCTAAGATAGCGGAAACCTCAGAATACAGTTTCGACTTCATGTATGTTTGAAGAGCATCATGGGAAGTGAATGTGGCGCGTATGCAGTTGAAACCAGTCGAAGGAGCTTTGAGCTATTTATATTTCATTGCAATATTCCAAGAATACTTTTCCTTCGTTTATAAAACGATCGTGGCTTAGTTACATGGACATTCAGAGAGGACATTGACTCAAGACAGTACCCATGCGGTTGGACTGCAAATCCGATATCTTGATATAAATTCTACTTTATCATCACGTTATTGTCAATTTTGTCAAGCTCAACTGTCCATCGGTCTGTCAACGGAAATCCTTCTAACTCAGATTGTTTGGATTGGATTTCAACATGTTTGGGTCCTCTACAACACCGTTTGGAACTGGCGCTGGCTTTGGAACAGGAACTGGTAAGTTTTTTTCTATATATATCAAATCAAGGCATACAAAGTGCTATAGGCTGTCCATACCTTTTCTTCACAACTTTCAGATTTCCTTGTCGTCGTTTAAATCAGAAATGATTATTTGTTGTAGTTTCTGTATGATCGGTAGTCTTTCTTTTTTTGGTTGTTAAGAACAGAGTGACTTTTATCACACTAACTATAAAAGGCCGGTCCCTATCACTACTGGCCTTCAGTTGATTTCCATCATTCATGAAAGTCAGGGCTGTGCTCTAGCAGAGCCCGGTGGCCCCTGGTGCCCAACTTTTGCCCTTGGGCGACAAGAAAATCTCAGATTTTTCTTACAAATCATATGCTGGGCACCCTAGATTTTACAGTCTCAGAGCACTGGGCTCCCTTCAATTTTCCTCAGAGCACAGCTTTGGATGTTGTCAAAATTGAAACTTTTTTGTTATGATTGTCAGGGTTTTAATGACTAACTCATATACAGCTTGAAGGTATGCCGTCAACTCGTCTCAAGGTCAGATCATTCCATTCCGCATCGTTCCACTTAGTAGTCAGATCATTCTACAATATAGTTAGAACTTTTCAGGAGTCTTTAAGCCGCAAGTAAAATGAAGGGGTAACTCATGTGTATGCCTCATTCTTTAAGCCAAGAAGGCTAAAAAGCATGCTTCACATCAAGTTTTACTCTGAAACTGGGGAACAATCTGACTGTAAAATGGAATGGTTTGGCTTGAAATGATCTGACCATGGGACGAAGTGACATTAAAATTAAAAAATTACAAAAAAATAGTTAAATATTATTGCCTTTGCACTCATGAAAGTTGAGATTTTTACATGGATTTTATTATTCACATTTGTAGCTTTTGGAGCTCAGAAAACAGGAACACAGTTTGGCGCCAGTTCAGGTTGGTTTTGGACAGTGAGGATTTATCATTTTTTTTTCCTAATTTTCTTGTCATTTTCATCTCATCGTCTTAAAAATCACAATCATGTATTTAACTAGGTATTGGCCTTCTTATTCTTCTTCCTCCATCTCTCTACCATCATCATCATCATCATCATCATCATCATCATCGATCATCACTATTACCATTGTTGTTATAATCATCATTGTTATCACAATCATCATTGTCCACCTTATCATTACTGTCATTGCCATTATTGTCATCATTGCATGGTTTATTATAGTTATCATTTTCCTTACTGTATCATTATTACAAGCATCTTGAGCACCATTACTATTTCTAGACATTGTGATAAAAGCAATTTTATTCAGGTTAAAACTTGTAAATCTGTGTTGTTGCCCTGCATCATCAGATTTATTCTCTTTGTTCAGCGTATGAAAATTGAATAGTTAAGTGAAGATTAATTAAATTGTGACACAATTTTTCCAGGTCTGGGCACAAACTTGTTTGGAAATAAACAAACAGCTTTTGGTAGTACATTTGGAAATCAACCTCAGAGTTCAGGTACCACTGGCTTGTTTGGAAGTAGTACAGCAACAAATACAGGAGGTAGTCTATTTGGGGGAACAACAACTGGAAGCATCTTTGGACAACAGCCAACCACACAATGTAAGTGCCAGGGTACATCATTATTATTATTAATTTATTTGGAAAAATTTGAGGAATTATGTGGGTGTTGTGAATGATAGTTTTGATGATAATTGAGATCAAAAAGAGCAAAATAACTTTTCTTTCGTGTCTAATTAAGTAGCTTGATACTGCTCAGATATTTTCGCTTGTAGTGTCACGGAGAGGTTACGCGAGGGTTTTGTTTGTAATGGTTCTTTATAGTGTTGTTTGTGACTCTTTGCAAGGCAGATACAATCAATCAGTCTGACAGTCAGTCAGTCCATTAAACAGTCAATAATATTGATTAAAGTAGAAGCTGATGTGCATGTTTTGCATTGCAAGCCAGAGACATCCTTAGTCATATTCTTTTCACTCTGATGTTTGTCTGATAACTGTAGAAAACAAACCATCCATTTTTGAAAGAAAAGAAAAAAATGTATGTTAATGTTATTGCTTTTTCCAAACAGCCTCATTTGGTGGCTTTGGATCAGGTGGTACCGGCCTGTTTGGCAACCAAGCAAAAAGTACCTCAGGCACAAGTGTCTTCCAGGCTCCAGGGCAGACTTCCACTTTTGGCAGTGGAACATCAACAGGATTTGGAGCAGCTAGTAAGTTTGAGCATGTTTCACTTTGATCACATGCATATACAGGGTTCTCATTAAGTTTTAAAGTAGACAGCTAATGTGTAATGTATAAGATGTAAAAGTACTAGGCAGGTTGGTAATTAAGTGCTGTCGGCAATTTGAGGCTTTCACTCTCTTACTTTGCCCTTGATCCCCAAAAGGTATATGGCTCACACCTCCAAGTAGCCAGCTTTTTCAGCCGGTTGCCCGCAATTAATGAGAACCCTGATATACAGTGTATGTATTGTTTTTAATGAACTGAATTGTGTTTACCAGAATTAATCATAACTATATAAATTCTCAAATCTGATTGGCTATCAATAATTGATAGCCAATCAGATTTGAGAATTTTGAGAATTTATTGAGAATTTATTGTACTGATTTCAGCACTAATAGGACAGGGTAACAGGACAGTATACGTCATGCCTAAGTAATTGGACAGTACGTGCCTTTTTTTTTTCACTGCTAGCAAAAAACACTTGGAAAATTTCTTGTGCTTTGATTTAAAAAAGCCTAAAAAATCACAAATTCTGATGTAGTTATGATTTATTGGTAACAGATTTTCGTGTCGTTCAATTCGGTCTGTAATCATACTCATGATTAAGCAAATTGGACTCCCGCCATGCTGTTGTGCGATTTTGTTTATCACTTGTATGATTACAGACCGAATTGGACTCTGCTCATTCCTATTACCATTATTAACTTGATAAAACAAGAAAACAGTAGGGTTGTTTAACCCTTGAAGCCAAGAGTGATCAGTATGAAATTTCTCCTCAACAATTCAACTCTGTATTTCTTTGTTTTTTATAGCTGGTGCTAGTTTATTTGGAAGTACAGCTAACAAAAGCACAGGTCTGTTTGGTGCCAGTCAACAGACAGGTACCTCGCTCTTTGGACAGAGTGGCATTCAAGGTAATAACATTTGCAGCGTGCAAAAAAAGTCGTGTCCGATAGCCCAGGCCTAGTGGATTTTGCTATCGGGCCAGTGATTTTTGCTCTTAACTTGCCCAACGGGCAAGGGAAATTCAAATTAGGGAAGGATTGCAATCAATCCCACTAATCAAAAAGGGTTTTGGGGCTAGTTGAAATGACTTGTGGGCTAGTACATGCTAGCTACAGCTTGCCCGAATGGCAGGCTGTAAAACTGATTTTCTTTGCATTCTGATT